CCAGTTGTCAACTCTTAAAACATAAAAACAGCATGCATGGATGAGTGTGCATAAATGTTTGGGTGCACAAACTGATAGATGAGGTGAGATCTCGTTACCCCAAACCTAGAGGTATTACATGAATCATGAGACAAGCCCTGCAGAGCAAAGGGTCCGGTGGTGAGAGGTGGTGAGGAAGGTGAACCAGATATTAGACGCCACCCTGACTCATCTGAAGGAGGAAATGCTCCAGTTTGTGGGAGAGATTTGTGCGTTAGAGGAAAAGTCATTAAAGACACTAAAGCAAATTTATCACTGACTGACTTTCAGTCAAAAGGCAAATCTATTAGCACCTCATCAGCTTCATTTCTTCCTTTCAGCATACCCCAACCAAGTGGTTGATTTGAACAAACAAAAGCAAAGCATCAGGGTAATGACTACTCCTAAAGGTTGGCAGAGTTTCACATGAATCCTGATTATTTTTTGTCTGACTTTCATTACAAAGCCAATCATCTCTGCTATGGTTGTCTGATTTTATCATTATCAAGCAACAGTTTCCATCTAGGAACTCATCAAAAAGGTTAAAAAACAAATTTACGTTTTATTGCTTGAAAATAGTGCTGAAATGAACCAGCAGGTATGTCAGTCCTGGAGTCATTTCAGTGGGAAAAGCGCCTCCTACTGGTGGTCTGATGCAACAGCAACACTGTTTCTGCAGGAGAGTTGGGATCAAAGGTGGAAAAGGCCTGAATATTTAACATGCAAACACACTGTATGACATTTATTTTTTTTATATTTATATATGTATTAGATATAGTTTCAATAATTTGTTACATATATTAAACAATTTATGACATTTGGTCTCAAACGTTTCAGTTTCCTGTCCACTTAATCACAGTTGTAACTTGTAAAGTTTTTCCCTGAGCAAAATCTTTTTAAACTAATCAAACAAGGCCATAATGACAAAAAACATTAAACTTTTTGTTCATTTATAACGACACTAACCCTGCCTTCTTGTAATAAATAAGGTCAAATAAATATATAAATAAAATAAATCATTACAAACCTAAACTTGATGGTTCATGATCTACAGCGAGGTCCCAACACAAAGTTTGAAAACCATTAATATGAATATTTATAAAATATTTTCTTACTTTGTTTAAATCTAGAGGTTTTTTTTATGGTATTCTGTTATATCTTGTCTACAAATGTGTGTAAAATGTGTCTTTAAGAACAAGGGTGCTTTTTTTTTTTTTTTTTAAATTGCATCAACAAATTGTTGAAGCTGCCAAACATGAGTTTAGATTTGCTCTTTAGCTGTAATGTTTGTAACAAATACAAAAAGTTACACATGCACCTTATAAAAACTGTACAAAAAAGTATTTCATTTGATCAAACGATATAATTCAAAGCATATTCTGGGTTTTAGACATAAAAATAAACAAACACCATTCGACCATTTTGAAATTATGCTTCAAAACAACTAAACAGTTGGTTTATTTCTAATGATTACCAACGTGCTGACGTTTTATTCTCATAGGAAATTTAAAAAAGTCTTCTGAAATTCTGATAACTTCATCTAAGTGTGAGTTGAAGTGACTCAGTGACCCTGAGCTCATCAGAGTCAGTGGCTCTCCTGTTTAGACCACCGTGTCGCCTACTTCCTGTGTCAGAGGGCTAACGCACTGTGATTGGATCAGGTTTGCTGGCACTGTGTGTGTGTGTAGTGGTGTGTGTGTGTGTTTGAACTCTGCAGAGCGCCTGTGGATGATAGAGGTCAGTGACTTCTTGTTTCTCACAGGGACGGAGCTGACACACGGGCGTAAGAACAGTCTATGAAAACAAACCCCACATTTCGTCTGTCTATCATCTCCACAACACACACACACACGTCTCACACAAGCAAACAGACATGGTGACACGTGTATGTGTTTGCTCTGCGTGTGTGAGCAGTCGTCTGTACAGTCCAACATGAAGACAAACTGAAACGACGTGTGTTGCTTCAGCAGCAGCTCGTGATGCGACACGTTCAGTTCACAGAGCAGCTGGGAGAAGTTTAGCCCTTTTTTACTTCACATCTCAAGGTTTAAACACAAAAACAGAGAAGTGCTCGCAACAGTCACAAAGCTTGATGGAGAAGCTACTGAAAAGCTGAAACTATGTCAACGGACAGCGGCAAAGAAAAAAACAAGTGTTTTGATTCAAATAAGACCTGCTGTGACTGCAGAGCCACATGAGCTAAAACAGACTAATGAATAAATGAAGAAAGCTCAATGCAAATAAAGCAATAGTTGCAAAACATTAAAAAAACTGTAAGAAAAACTAAAACAAAGCCTGAACACCATGACAGCACTACATAAATAAATAAAACGCATCTTCAATGATTAAACAAACTCTTCGCCTCTGTCCCCCAGTCAGAATACCGTACTTGCTGTCGTACACGTCGCACCGCCGTATAATTCGCATCTATTATGCGTCACCACTGACCACCTGGAAACATGGGCTGGTGTTGTGCCAAAAATCAATTGGCTGCTAAATGGCAGCCGCGGGAGCATGCACGGGAGGAATTTAACAAGAATTTAACAAGATTACCACTTAAAAACAATTATTTGTTTGCTCGACATTATAGTAAAGATGTGTCTCAGTCTAACTTTTCCTTAATAAATACCATACCATACCAATTTATTTATAGAGCACTTAAAACAGCAACAAGGACAACCAACATGCTGTACAACAGAAACAAACAAGCACAGCGGACAGGAAAACATAAAATATAAATAAAGATACAAATAGTGGATAACTAAATGGCCAACACTGCTGACTACAGACAGGATCAAAACAAATCACACCGTGTCAAAGGCAAGGGAATAAAAATGGGTTTTCAGGCGAGACTTAAAGACTGTGAGTGTGGGAGCCTGCCTGACACGCAGTGACAACTCATTCCACAGTCTTGGACCTGCAACAGAGAAAGCCCCGTCACCTCTGAGCTTGTGACGGGTTTCTGGAACTGAAAGGAGCCTCTGGTCTGCTGACCCCAGAGAGCACGGTGGGACATATGGCTGCAGAAGATCAGTGAGATAGGATGGGGCTGAACAGTTCAGTGATTTAAAAACATACACGAGTATTTTGAACTGGATCTGAAGGTGAATGGGTAGCCAGTGCAGGGAGGCCAGAACTGGTGTAATGTTCTCTCTATGGTCTGTACCAGTTAAAAATCGGGCTGCAGCATTTTGGACCAGTTGTAAACGTGCAATGGAGGATTGATTGATTCCAAACAGAAGCGCACTGCAGTAATCGAGCCTGGATGTTATGAATGCATGTATTACTGTCTCAAGATTCTTTTTGGACAATATGGGCTTCAGCTTAGACAGCCGCCTCAGCTGAAAGAAACAGGATTTAACAATCATGTTTACATGTTAAGCTTTAAGGAAGGATCCATTATCACTCCCAAATTGGTGACTCTTTGTTTTAACAGAGCTAGAGAGGAAAGGTCGATGCAGTGGTTCATGGACGTGCCATTGGGATGGAACAAGATGACTTCAGACTTCTTCTCGTTGAAACTTAAGAAGTTTAAAGCTATCCAGTCCCAGATGTCAGCCAGGCAGTCAAGAAGAGGCTGAATAGAGCGTGTGCCTATTAAATGCACTTTAATGGTCAAATTAGCTGCATTTCACCTGGGCGGTGCGGCAAAATACAACGGATTAGACGTTAACTCCAGGAGTTCCGATGCGAGATGAAGGTGACTTACTTAGGCAAGCCAAGTGTCTCATTAATAGCTACTTTTACCTATTAATGTGACACTTGGCTTGCCTAAATGCTTGAGAATAGTAGTGTTTAATATTTTCCATGTCAGAATGAATGAAATCGTCAGATCTCAGTCAAATATTGAGTTATAAATATGGGGGAAAAAACGTATATTAGTCGCTTCGGTGTTTAAGTCACAGGACTTGCAAATTTATGCAAAAAGGTGTGACTTAAATGGCGAACAATACGGTAATCTAATTTCTTAAAGCAGACAGACTTCTAGTCAGTTTAGTGCTTTTTAAATGAGAGTAAATAGATTTGGCCTAAATATAAAGTAGTTTTTTTTTTCTATTTTTACACAAACAAGTGACATTTGAATATTTTTTGGCCGCGTTCAGCCTAAATAAAGTTCTCTTCTTCTTTTACGAGCTCAGATCCAATGATCAGTAACACGCTCATTGTGACTTATTCAACTCTTCTTTGTTCTGTAAAACAAGGAATGCAGAAACAATTTCATTGCAACTAATTATTTTTGGGTGAACTTCCCGGCTTCAGGAATGACGCCTGAGAAAAACAGGGTGCGCAGCTGCATACGGTTATTAAAACTTCCCCAAAAAATAAACTAAATAAGTCATTGGTTCACCTCCTATCACTGAAGGAAACACAAAATCCATTTACACAGCCACAATCATAACAGGGACACCTCCTGTCCCACTTCTGCCCTAAAAATAAAACAGTACACATCACTAAAAGCACTCACAACCACACTGATGAACAGTTTCCTCCCAAAAGCCACCCAGTCTCTAAAAACCTCATAATGAATTTAATGTATGAATATTCATGTTTGTTTTTCGTTTACTACTACTTGATGTCATGTATCCTAAAAGCATCAGTATTCAGAATGAACTACTTCCTGTCTGCTGTGGTAGATACAGCTGCTGTTGATTTGATGCAATCTGTGTATTATTTTTATTTTTACTTTGCAACATTAACACTAGTGTGACGAGCATCTGCATTACTGTTCAGCAGGGCTATTCAACTGGTGGCCCGGGGGCCAAATCAGGCCCACAGGTGAGCTCAGATCGGCCCACCAATGGGTTCATTTATAAATAAAACTATTTTAAACCGTAAAACAAACTTACTTAATGACAATAACTGCTGGATGTCCGGCCCCTGAGCTCTTGGCTTCAGTTACTGTGGCCCCCTGAGCAGTTTAGCTGAATATCCCTGGTGTACAGTGACAGTCTTCACTCAGACATGAACACAAAGATGGTTACCTTCCACACAGGAGGGTCTGGCTCTGGTGGTGCCGGCGACCTGCCCCGGAAAACAGGAGCACTTGACGGTTTGCGAGCGCTCCTCGATCTTGTTCTTGTTGCAGCAGCGATGGACAGCCACCACCTCACACGTGCCCTGCTTCACCTGATACGACACTGGCACAGAAACATGCAAGTTACTGGCTGTAAATGTCTCAACTTGTAACTGTTTGTTGATCGTTTGCTGCTGAGAATGAACTCACGTTCTGATTTTTGTGTTGCTGTTGGATAAACAAATTTTACAGCATCTCATATGAGAATTAAAAATAACCATTGAAGTATTTATGACAGTTTAAACTCTGCAGTTTCCACCATTTCCAGGCTGTGATGCATAAATAAACCCCTCTTAGCTTTTCTTTGCTCTCAGCCGTGCGGCCTCATTAACTTTAAAGGCAGTTCTGTTTGTGTCGTCGTGTGCAGGAAGAAAGAAGTGTTTGTTCTGAGTCAAAGCGAGCCACTTGATCAACTCACAGACACACCAGCATCATGAGGGACACTACAAGGACATTAAACACTCTTAAATAAGAAGATCCTCACCAGAACTCACAATTATTTCTGTGTGTGTTTGTGCTCGTTAGGGCTGTGTACACTGGTCTCCCTGAGCTCATTCCTGTGTGTTCCTGAAAGTCATTAATCATGTTCAAATGATTTAATATTTTTATTTACCAGAGACTTCCAACACAAAGTCAAACTCTCTTTATTCTCCTCATGCCTGCCTAATGATGTCCATGTGGTTCTCCGGATAGAAAATCACGCTCGGCTCAAGTTTAAACCAAAACTTTCTGCTCTGAGGACACCATTGTTTTTAAAGACGTATAATATTTCTGCCACAATGTTTTCAGACAGATTAGCTTTTCTTTAACTAAAAATTTCATCAAAACTGTTTATTAAAAATAACAAAGAAGTGCAATTCTTTTAAAGGTTCAGTCAGATAGACTCACCTGAACACATGAATACAGTTTTAGATGTGTAAATGTTTTATTTCATTTATTATATCCCTTGGTGAGAGGGTTTTCTACTTTCTGTGTGTGCTCATTGTTTTCTTAAACAATAATCTGAGCATTTTAGGATTTTCAGTCTTTCTCCCTCCTTGGATGGCGTTAATCTGTCCTCCAGCTCTAATGTTAAAAATCTTGGTGTTATTTTTGATCAGGACATGTCTTTTATCCTCCACATTAAAAACGTTTCTAGAACCTCCTTCTTCCACCTGCGTAATATCACTAAAATTAGAAACATCTAAAAATGATGCAGAAAAACTGGTCCATGCATTTGTCACGTCTAGACTGGACTATTGCAATGGTTTATTATCTGGGTGTCCAAATACTTCTTTAAATTGTCTTCAGTTGATCCAAAATGCTGCTGCCAGAGTCTTAACTGGAGTTAGTAGGAGAAATCATATTTCTCCAGTTTTAGCTTCTCTCCACTGGCTCTCTGTCAAATCTGGAATTGAATTCAAAATCTAACTTCTAGCCTACAAAGCGCTCAACAACCTAGCTCCATCTTATATTTGAGACCTTTTTGTTCCATATTTTCCTAACAGAGGACTTCAATCTCAGACTGCAGGTTTACTTGTGGTTCCTAGAGTTTCCAAAAGCAGAATGGGAGGAAGATCTTTCAGTTATCAGGCTCCTCTCTTGTGGAACCAACTTCCAGTTTCTGTCCGTAAGTCTGAAAAATTGTCCAGTTTTAAGACTGGGCTGAAGACTTTCCTTTTTGATAAATCCTATAGTTAGGGTTATTTTATTATGCTGCCATAGGCTTAGACAACTGGAGGACAAAATGACCTCAGTTCTTAAAATGAATTGTTAAAATTGAATAGTTTTCATTTGATATTATTTCTATCTTAACATGATGCTTGACCTGCCATTGTGTATCTGTTCCTCTCAAACCCAGCTGGTTGAAGCAGACGACCACTTGTCCTGGGTCTGGTTCTGCTAAAGGTTTCTTCCTCATGAGGGAGTTTTTCCTTCCCACTGTCGCCTTCATGTTTGCTCAAGATGAGTCTGTGATGGTGTTAAACTCAAAGCAGTCTGCTCCTCAGATAAATGTTAAATTATTATTTTTATATAAATATTTCTGTTCAGTGCCCTGAGATGACTTCTGTTGTGACTTGATGTTATAGAAATAAACTGAATTGAAATTGAATTAAATGTTTAGTAAATCTAATATCTGCCAACGGCTGCAAAATACATTCCTTGTTTTTCTTCACAAAGCTTGCTATGTGCTCGTGAAAATCTTCTTAGGCAGCTTTCTTTTTCTTTCTTTCTTTCTTTTTCTTTTTTTTGTTGTGCACAACAAACCCTTCTGGTGACACTACAAGCAACCTATAAGCCTCTTTACCCCCCTGGAAAACCTTGCTTATACTGTACCATAAGCCCAGATTCCATTTATGTGACGTGACTTCACACAGACTGAAACTTTTCACGCTCAGCTGAATGAGCTTTGCAGACAGACACGAAAAGTGTGTCCAAAAGCACAAACAACACACACACACACACACACACACACACACACGCACACACCCTCTGCAGAGGGTTCCATTTCTGCAGGCCATGGCCCCTCTCATCCTTTCTGATTTAAAGTTTGTTTGTTCTTCTCTCTAGAGAGGCCCATCAATGATCCCTGGCTCTCTGAGGGCACCCCCTCCACCATCATCCCTCCACTTTCATTTCCCTCACTTCTCTGGCTCTCCTGAGGCTGAAGCAGTGGCCACATATACCCCCCATCACCCCCCCCACACACACACACACACACACACACACACACACACACAAACCTCCATCTAAACTGGTAGAGAGACCAACAATAAAAGAATGGACAAAACTGAAAATGACCACATCATTCTATCAGTGCAGCTTTTATTACAACAATTGTCCCAATTAAAGCTGTAACAATGTAAAAAAAATAATAAAATAAAAAATAATGAAGCCTAAATCAAGCACAATCAACTGGCCTTGTTTAATCCTCATTAAAACTATTCCATAGTGAAAATTCATTCCACTGGTATTACAGAACTAGAACTTGTTAAATCTGTTGGTTCAATCCCTGGAAGTTAAAAAAAAAAAAGTCATCTTATTAGTAAGAAACAAGGAGGAAGATGGATGGAGTCAAGCGAGTGGAGGAAGCGATGGTGTCCCGGGCAGCAGACGGAACAAAGAGCAGCTCGTGTTCAGCTGCGTAATGAGGTCACGAGGTGCTCCGGTCTCTCCTCATCACCTCGTTCTGAACTTGGTGGAAGAAGCTTGTGTTTAAAACCTTAAAAGCTTCTGACGAGGAGGACGAGGAATCTGCCAGGCTGTCTGCCCACAGCTTGTACCTGATTAAAATCACAACAAAGTTTCAATGCTAATGAGCTAAATTCAGACAGGTGTGTGTGTGTGTGGGGGGGGGGGGTGGTATTTTATTTTATGGTGTTCATACACAGCTTGATGAAAAGAAAAACAGTCCAAGGTGCTCTTCAAGCAAACACCACAGCAAGGCTGCTTTCATGGCCACACAGAGAACAACTTCACCGTGTTTCAGATATTTTACCGTCGAGCCTTCATCTGGGAGCAGCTGCACACGTTTTTCATCATTAATGATGGTAATGATGGTTACCTTGTGACTAATAGGTGGAATAAAATGATGCAGGATAAAAGGCAAAGTGCCTGCTCTTTTGGCGCACGAGCAAACGTTGAAGAAGATGCTTTAATGTCTAAATCTGGTGCGTGGATTTACAACATGAAAGTCATTTTGTGCAGAAGACAAAGGATTCTTCCTGATGACTAGAAACGTGGTTTCATTTGTGGCGTCAGTAAAACAAATCAAAATCATGACCTGGAGCCAAGCTCCCAGGCGCCAAACCTGATCTAAACGAGCCTGATATAGATTTAGATGTATTTTATATGGACTTTAATAATTAACAGTTGAATAATTAACACTACAAATAAAACATTATCATGCCAAGCTGTAAAAGTGACAGCGTCTGAAATGTGTGCTGGAAATATCAGAAATTGTTTGTAGCATTGAACCTTTATGCTAATATTCATCTTGCTGAGCATCCGTGATGTTTTTATCAATAAACAAAGAGCTGAAAAAAATGCAACTAAAGTTATTTAATGAGAAAAATGTTCAACTCAAAGCCACAGATTATAAAAGCCTTTTCAGAGCGTTACAGACGCGGCCTTGGTTTCTAGCAGCGTATCATTGTTCGTGAATGAATTATAGGCAACAAATGAAGTGCAGCCTTCACATCTGACAGGAGCAAAGGTGCAGTAAGAGCCAACGTGTCTGTAATTACATGCTTCTTTGCACTAAATGCTAAGTCAACAAACTTTCAAGGTCACCCTGACGTACAGCTGCTTCCAGGACAGCAGGGACGGCTCACATGAACGATGGGCTCGGCTGGGGAGAGCAAGGAACAGATGACTGCTCTCGTTAATGTTGTTTTTCTTTCAGCTGCTCCCTTCTTAAGAGAACTCGCAAGAACGTTTGGCGATTGTTTTACTCTGGAAGCTGTTCCCAATGAAACCTCTGCTCAAATCCACAACCTTAGGCGCTAATGGAACCAACAAAGCTGCCGTTTATTATGAACGTTCAGACTCTTAAAGATGACGGAGACTCATCCATACATCAGTTATCTTTACCCTCTTCCTCCTTTTCGGGTCACGGGGGTCACTAGTGCCCATATCCAGCAATCACTGTGTGAGGGGCGGGGACACCCTGGACAGGTCTCCAGTCCATCACAGGGACACATAGAGACAAATGAGATAAACAACCATTCACTCTCTCACTCACACATAGAGACAATTTAGAGTTTCCAATCAGTCTAACATGCATGTTTTTGGTCTGTGAGAGGAAACCGGAGCACCTGGAGAAAACCCACGCATGCACGGAGAGAACATGCAAACTACACCCAGAAAGGCCCCGGGCCGGGATTTGAGTCAGCGATCTTCTCACTGAGCTCTACATGCTGCGCCACCTCACTGATGGAGACTCCACTTAGCCAAAGTTTGAAGTAAAAAATAAAATAAAAACCAAGTCTGATAATAAAAATAGTGAATAACAGAACTAGATTAAAACAGTTTAAATCCTCTAAACTTGGGATTTATGGAAATGAAGTTACGTGTTTGGTTGTT